TCACCATGTGCACGCTGTATGTGGCGTTTTGACCGTATGGATAGAAGGATTGATGATGATGAGGAGGACAGAAAGGCAGGTAGTAGGACCTATGATACGGAGGATGATTGAGAAGGCTGACGATGAGCAGGATGACAATGTATATGACGATGATGCGTTCGATACTTAGAATCATGATGATGCTGCTACGGTGATGGCTATTGAGGTGGTGATGATGCTGCTGTTGTTGATGACGATAACGGCGACGATGCTGAGGACGATGTCCATGCTGAGCATGATTATGAGGATTATGACGACGATTCCCCAATCAGAGCTTGCCTCTGTAGGGGTCCTAGCGGATTTAAGGGTAGGTGAGGTTTGCCGCCGTCACGGTGGCCGGGCCCGGGTGCCCGGGTGCCCGGGTGCCCGGGTTCGCCGCCGATTCGGTGGCCGGGCCCGGGTGCCCGGGTGCCCGGGTGCCCGGGTTCGCCGCCGATTCGGTGGCCGGGCCCAGGTGCCCGGATGCCCGGGTGCCCGGGTGCCCGGGTGACGGGTGCCCGGTGCCCTGGTGGGTGCCCAGGTGCCCGGTGCCCTGTAGCCCTATAGCCTTATAGCCCTATATCTCTATCGCTCTATAGCCCTATAGCCCTATAGCCCTATAACCCATATAGCCATGTAGCCATATAGCCCATATAGCGCCCAAGAGCCCATATAGCCCTGTAGCCCAATAGCCCTACAGCCCTAAAAAGATTATGATTGTTTTTTTTCTCTGGTATCATATGGTAAAGAGCGTGTTCTACCGGGGGGTCACCGGGGGTTTCCAACCCGTCCCCCCCCCTCTCGAAAACCGGGGGGGTCACTGGGGTTTGCAAACCCCCCCTTCCCCCCGCCCCTGGTCCATCATGAAAAGGGGGGGCCACTACCGGATCGAACCCCGTCCCCCCCCCCCTCCTGGAAAACCAGGGGGGGGTCACTACCAGTTCGAACCCCCCTCCCCCCCCTCCCCCCTCGCCGCAACGAATCCCCGCCCTCTCCCACTCTGGATGGGGGACTGGTGGGGACAGTGGTTGGGACGGTGCTGGCGATGGTCGTGGGGAGTGGGGACAGTGGGAAGAGTGGGACCGTGGTGGGGGCAGTGATGGGAACAGTGGGGGCAGTGCGACAGTGGTGGGGGCACTGGCGGGGACAGTGGGGACAGTGGTGGGGACTGGGGACAGTGGGACAGTGGTGGGGACAATGGGGACAGTGGGACAGTGGTGGGGACGGTTGTGGTGGGGACAGCAGTGGGACAGTGGTGGGGACGGTGGTGGTGGGGACAGCAGTGGGACACTGGTGGGGACGGTTGTGGTGGGGACAGTGCTGAGGGCGGTGGTTAGGACGGTGGTGGGACAGTGGTACAGTGGGGAGAGTGGTGGGGACTGGGGACAGTGGGACAGTGGTGGGGACAGTGCGGACAGTGGGGCAGCACAGTGGGACAGCGGTGGGGACAGTGGGAACAGTGGGACAGTGGTGGAGACAGTGGGGACAGTGGGACAGTGGTGGGGACAGTTGGGGCAGTGGGGAGAGTGGGATCGTGGTGGGGACAGTGGTGGGGACAGTGGGGACAGTGCGACAGTGGTGGGTGCACTGGTGGGAAAGTGGGGGCAGTGGTGGGAATAGTGAGGACAGTGGGACAGTGGTGGGGACAGTGGACAGTGGGACAGTGGTGGGGACGGTGGTGGTGGGGAGAGTGGTGAGGGGACACTGAGACAGTGGTGGGGACAGTGGGACAGTGGTGGGGACGGCGATGGTGGGGACAGTGGTGAGGGCGGTGGTGAGGACGGTGGTTGGACAATGGAACAGTGGTGCAGTGGGGAGTGGGTGGGACAGTGGGACAGTGGGGGGAACAGTGGGACAGCCCAGTGGGACAGCGGCGGGGATAGTGGGGACAGTGGGACAGTGGTGGGGACAGTGGGGACAGTGGGACAGTGGTGGGGACAGTGGGGACAGTGGGGAGAGATGGACCTTGGTGGGGACAGTGGCGGGGACAGTGGGGACAGTGCGACGGTGGTGGGGGCATTGATGGGGACAGTGGGGACAGTGGTGGGAACAGTGGGGACAGTGGGGACAATGACAGTGGTGGGAACGGTGGTGGTG